TGTGTATGAGTAAAAATAAGTCTCTTCATTCACATGACGCTAAATTTTATCATGAGGCCTTTTTAGTCAATTTCAATATTGACGTAATACAATTTTTATTCAAAAACATACCTTCTTAACCGTTCCGGAGAAGCACTAAGCGAGGTGCTGGTGGAATGATTGGAAGCATTCGACAACGGAGACCCGTGAGGTCGATTGGATCCTCTGCCTCGATGTATCCGAAGCGTCAGTCGGTTGTCATCGAACCGACTGCCCATTCCTTTGCCTGCAAATTGAGAGCAGGCTGATAATACAAATTACATTGTTCTTTGACACCATCATTTTGAGCTTATAGTTAATAATTTAGAATGACTGTACATCGATTGGTCTAATTTTGATATAGGGACTAATGTGTTACAAATTTTGTGGAAGAACGAAAATATTTGCTACGTTTGCTTCTGAGTGCAATTTTACTATGCAAAGATTCTAAGATCTATAAAAAAAAAATGACAGACAAAACCAAACGCAACAAATAATTTCTTTTTCGGCACATTTTTCTTTGTTTAAGCATCAGGAAAGAACAGTCTATTTTGTAAAAAGTACCTACAGAACAATTGTTGTCAATTGAAGGATATATATACATTCAGTTCATTTTCTGAATCAGACAATCCTCACCTTTTGTAGTTCTAAAACCCTGATTAATAGCTTTGGTGGTTCTAACAGCGGCTTTGTATATCCTCCAATAGAAGAACAGCATCACGAACATGGGGATATAGAAGGAACCGAGAGCCGAGTAGACGACGTAGCCAGCATCGTTGGTCAGCTCACAGGTCCATTCGCAAGGGGGGTTGGGCACCCAACCGTCTTTTATGTCTGCTTCTTCAGGCTGTAAAAGAAAAAATTCATGTAATAATACGTATTTTATTAAAAGAGATGCAGAGTAAAAATGCGACGTGATTTAACTCGCGACTTCGTCCGCGTACAAAATGATTCCTGTTTTATTCCATGGGAGTATTAAATCGGGATAAAATTATATAAAGATTCCATCACTTAAGTCAGCCCATACTCTGCCTGTATACCAAATTTCATCAAAATCCGTTGAGTAGTTTCAGTTTACAAACATCCAATCATCGTCTATGAGAGAAACAACTACGAAATTTCATAGTAAGAGTCGCAGAGGTTAGAAGAATGACGATTTCGAATTAACAGTTTTAAGAAGATTATGTTTTCAAGATTAACTGCTAACAAATTAATCTTTAACAGCATATCGAAATCCGAGATAGTAATATTAGGAGATACCTATATTAAAATGTACCTATTTATAGATTTCGATCATAGCCAGACAATCTTCAGGGAATTAATCAACTACCTACGCAAAGCGTACAGATTCATTCAAGTGAATTTTCTATTTGATTTGTTTCACACTGAATTGATGTCCATAAGAGAGGCAGTGGTCATCGAATAGAAATAAATCGTTATTACATTGAAATAACGGTGTTATTGATGGATGCTCCGAAATTTTTAAGTGTGAAAGTGTCATGCTTCGGCACTAATGGGCCGGCTCGACCGGAGTGATACATGGTCTCACAGAAAACCAACGTACAACAAACAACGCTTGCGTTTTGTTTCCCAAAAAGCCAGTAAGGCACTTGTAACGCCTTGGTGTTTCAGGTGACCAATAGAGGCGGCGATAGCTTACTATCAAGTGATCCGTCTGCTCATTTACCGGCTTATGCCTTAAAAAAAACCGTTTATTCCTAGCTTTCCGACTCCAGGTTCACTTTTGGACTTAGCTTTTTATAATATCAGAGGGTTGCGAATTGGAGATCGTAGTTTAAAAGGTAACTGCTGCTGCACGACTTTTATCCCCGAATGGGTAGGCAGACTAACATACGGCACTCAATGACACTGTACAATGTAACACCCTCTTTTCACTATTTACGTTATGAAATAGGGGGTGAGCCTATGGCCATATACCGGGCACATTTCCAGACTCTGTGCTAAAATTGATATTTTTTTAAAACCCAGTAGTACTTGTCCGACCCAGGAATCGAACCCAAGACCCCTTGGCCGGCAGTCGTACTTACGACCACTCGGCCATTTAGGCATGGGTGTCATCATGAGTCGAGAATTGTGCTTGATATATGGCAATAGGCTCACCCTCTATTACATGGGACTCATAACATACTTAAATAGTGAAAAGTGGGTGTTACATTGTGCAGTGGGAATTATCCCACAAGGCAGCTAAAGGCGTGATGTTATGCATATATAATATAGACAACATACAATATCATACATAATTAACTATTAATTTGAGTCGGGTCGGAAACGGACCGCATATGATGGATTCTTTTACAAAGACGTAACCGGATGGCTATCAAGCAAGACACAAGCGTCATATCTCGGAATCCACTCATCAGACAAGCAGAAAATTATACCTTTTGTGCCTGCTTTTGAGTGCGTGAGAGACTTACTTAAATTTTTTTGTAACGGTCTTTCCAATGTAACATTTTGTCAAGTTAAATTGTGACTACCAATAGCAGTCAGCTAGTTCCACCAATAGCAGTCAGCTATGACGGTTTTTGTTTTGTTTCCAAACAGATCATTCTGTTGATTCATAATCGGCCCGAATACGTCCACTACTTAGCACAGGCCTTCTATTGGAATAAAGATTTGGCCTTTTTTGGCAGGTGACTTTGGAATCTGATCGATTTTCGTTGATTAGCCGAAGTTTTAATAAATGTCTGGGTTTGGTTTCGTACCACTAGAAACCCTTAGTACTTACTGAACATATCAGATTACCCACACCTGCTTACTTGCTCAGTATGTTTTTATGGGAATCAAAAACCAAAATTATGTCTTTACATTGTTCAATATTGGATAATATATCAGAGAGATTGTAAAACAAATTATTTTTAAAAGAGTAACGAATGGAGATTCTTTTTCGTTCTTCTCCATTCGAATCTACATTTTGGAACAAGCACTTACCTTCACTGACAGAGAGACTGAATGACTATTATTTATTTTGTATTTGTTGACATTTAAAAATTATGGTTTAATTGAAATAAATGCTTTGACTTTGACTTGACTTTGATAATGTTGATCAACAGTCTATTATTTGCTTGAATATTATCTCTTATAAATTTTCATCCTCTGCAAATTGGCCTTCATAAAAGACTATACTTAACTCTACTTAATCACAGATGGAGCCCAACAGGGCCGATGCCGATTCGGAGTCGCGGAAAACCTAAAGGGTTACCGGGGCTCCGGCTCGGCGCACAGGAGAAGGAACGGGGTGGTTTTTAATCAGTAAGACAGTCTGACACTCCCTCCCGCCTCACCCAGGTGGGAGCAGTCATTCGATGATTTTCCACCCTTAAAAAAACCTCTACTTGATGGTTTACATCCACCCACGTTTTCATCAGAACACAAGCGAGACGCAATTAATTTTTAAGTTTTAACTTTCATGTACATATGTCTTTGTAATCATAAGATTCGCGAATTGCTTACTTACGATAATTAACAAACGAATTTACCAAAGAAAATTCATAATTAATTATACACGCAAACTTCAGTGGGTCTTATGAGAATGTAAAGTAATGCAAATAGCTACCAAACCTGCGTACATTTTATTGAATAAGCATACATTTCATACCGGTCCGTAAGAGATTATAATGCAAAGAGGTTTCAATGTTACTTTGTATTTACATACTGAATCTTTGAAAGAGGATGAGATAATGATTTAAGATAAAACAACGCGTTTATTCTTTGAACTACCAAGCTGTGTATGTACCTCCCATGGTGTGTATACTTACTGCATATTCCTCGGGTTATTTTCCTTTTAAAAAATCGGGGTCCATGTTTTCGAATGGCCAAGCCTCGTTCAAGAATTGTTATGTATGCAATTAAAAATTATGAATATGAGCGTAATAAAAGAAATTTCATAAAATATCAATACGTTGCTTTTGAATGGGGATGATGACAAGATATGAAAATTAATAATGTAATTAGTCCGTAAGTTAGATAATTATAAAATACTAGCGACCCGCCCCGGCTTCGCACGGGTGCAATATGTATAAGAATCACTCTATCTATTAAAAAAAACCGCATCAAAATCCGTTGCGTAGTTTTAAAGATCTAAGATCTAATACATACGGACATACAGCGAAAGCGACTTTGTTTTATACTATGTATTGATTGGACACTTATTTTCTTATTTTGTCGTATAATAAAACAATACTTAGATAAAACGAATCAAAGTTTAGGAGTGAGGGCTAAAACGTCATTTCTTAGTATAAAATGTACTGAGAAGTGACGTCACACGACATTTCAAATCAAAATATCGTCGAAAGTATTTGTTTCTGTGAGAAAATAAAATATATGTGTATAATAATTTTAAATAATCTACTAGACGGATACTAAAATAAAAATTATTCATCTACCACATTAAAAATTATGTATATGAGCGTAATAAAAAATAAAAGCCTCCTAGGTAATTCTCAAAGTAGATCAATGAAAAATTTAATGTAACACAAGCATTTCGTCAGTTATGATATCAAGTAATCCCATGGAAGACAATCAAGAAAGGTTTTCTACTATCCACTAATTATCTCAATGGAAAATCATACAAGAGGTACATAACAATAGTGTCCAAATTACCTTTTTATCCTTCCAACCGACCAGCGGCGGGAAACAGATGACAAAAGAGAGCACCCAGAGACCAGCTATAAGAGCCTTAGCCCTCTTTCTACTCATGATGCTAGGGTAACTGACGGGTCTTGTGACGGCCACGTAGCGGTCCAGGGAGATGGCACAGAGGTTCAGGATGGACGCCGTGCACATCCAGACGTCTACTGCCAGCCATACTGAACACCACACGTCGCCGAAGATCCATACCTGGAAAAGGAGAAAAGGTGAGAATGGTGAAAGAGTAATTATATCTCGAAATTCTTATTTATAACTCATTTACAGTTGCAAGAGACTATGGATAGCCTTACCCCATTAGAAAGCCCTGTCTTTTTATAAAATTGTCTGCGTTATACATGAAATTTTCCTTCTTTCAAATATTTTGATATAGATCTGCCATATAACGATGTATAAAAAAAAGTTCAAGATGCTGAAACTACAGTCTGTTCAAGCAAAATATAAAAGAATGCCATAGTAAGGTCCTGTTCAAAATAATAGGTAGATTCACTATTCTTTTTCTTATCTTATGATCACTTTCGTTTCGTTAGTAGTTTTGTCGTATTAAGTAAATATATGTAATTGTTTTACGATTAAAAACTACAATTAAAAAAAAAACGACTCCAATGCCCTCTTTTTTGAAGTCAGTTAATTAATATACTAAAACCTTTCCCTAACTGTAACTAACAAACAATTTTTTTTAAATCACATTAAAATTGGTTCAGGCAATCGCGAGGTAATCGTGCAAAAACAAATAAACATACATAAAGGTCAAACTGAGAACCTCCTTTTTTGGAGTCTGTTAATATTTTTTACATAAAACACACCTTCAAAACCTAGTACCTCACACCAGAAGATATTGCCTCGACTTATGTAAATAAAAAAAGTCTTCAAACTTTTCCTTTCCGTGATATTGGCAAAGAAAGTTGCCTCACCTTGTAATAACATGAGCGGGCTCCACTTGAAGCATAAACCTTAAGCAAAGTTTCAAATAGACGCGAGGCGTAATTCTCATAACAGGTATAAGTAACAGGTATTGCATAGATAACTGGTAACTGTTGTTCTCGCCGTGAATCACAGCTCAAATCATAGTCACAGGTTAAATCACAGCTGGTCATCAGTCGAATTTAAAAACCGATGCTAATGCAAAAATCTTCCGAACGACCTTGATTTTTTACCAAAATGTCTTAAGTTCTAATGTCAAAATTAGTAAAGATTTGAATTAAGATAGATTATATTATTATTATATTCAGTATGTATAATTATTAGTCTGTTATCGCTATCGGAATCGATAGGTGTACCAAAGAGTTGTCTGTTCTCAATACCTGTTACTAGGTAATAGCATCGACGTCGACGCTCAACACGACCTTGTAGTTACTAAATAACAGGTATTAAGAACAGTGATTTTAATGGACCAATAACAGGAATAACAGTTATAGTCAACCTGTTACAACCCAAGTTTAGTTTCAAAATTGCAATATGAATGGTGACAGACTTCCTCAATGTATTATCTTAAGTGCCTCATTCCCTTCATCTGGCCATTCTGAGCCTTATTGCCTTTATGGGATACGAAACTGCTTTGTTATTCGTTTATGATGATTATGTTGCTTTTTTGCTGCTAATGACGTCATTTCTGTTTGTTTATAAATGGAACGGGACGTGGGATTGTTAAAATTGGATTGGGTGTTTTTTGAGAAAATTGTAGAATAATATGAATTGTGATCTCTAATGTTTCATCATCATCAACAGCTTACGAATGCACAATGTTGAGCAAAGCCTCTTCTCACACGGAGAAGGTTTGAACATTAATCATAACGCTTGCTCAATGCGGGTTGGCGATTACAAACTTATAATCACGGTTTTTCCTTCACCATTTGTCAGTGGTGTCTAGATAATCTTAGAAAGTACATATAACTCGGAAAAAGTCAGTTCTTGCCGTTGGTAGGTTTCGAACCCGCACCCTCATGCATGAGAAGGGGGCGTCTTAAACCTCCGGGCAACCACGACATTCATCTAATGTTTATGGTCTCGATGAGAGTAAAATATTACTGTAGTATGCCTCTGTAATATTATGCGGTGAGTCTGTGTATATATGTGAAATACTTAATTCATTTTCAATTTAGATATATCTCTTGCTTGGGATTTCCACTAGTGACCATGACCACATGGACTAAAGCTCTAATCCATAAAAAACTCTTTTCTTAATCGTTCTCTGCAAATGCAACTATTTTCTTTAACGTCGACTTACAAGGAAAAACTGTACGTTACTTTAAAATTAAGCGCTTCCATCGCTTCACAGCTTGCGGCCGCTAGATCCAGCGCACAGCATAGGTATACTGAATGACCTACTTTCATTCAATTCAATGAGAGGCGTATCAAAGGCGAGCTTGCACCTGATTCGTTGGGGCTGACCGAGCAAACAGCTTGTACACACTGGTACAAATCGAGCTAAGCAAACCAGTATAAACTGACCGTTGACTGTGCAGAAAGATCATACAATGCTAGACCATGATGAACTGGTTTGGATAGCTTGTTGTGTTGTCGCTGTACAAAGAACTGGTGTGTACTGAGATAGTAATAGTGCTCTCGCCTGCTCAGTAGATGGGATGAATTGAACTTCATTCATGGAATTGCAATGTGGAGAGGAGGAGGGAGGGGTAATATTATGTAATAGTAGTTTTTGTTGAATATGTTTTTTTAAACTGACTGCATCGTTGGCTAAGGCTGATTCCCCGCTCGGGCAAAGTATTACTGGGTTACATAACATCACGCCTTTTATTCCCGAATGGGTAGGCAGAGGTGCACATTACGGCACTTAATGCCACTGTACATACAATGTAACACCCACTTTTCACTATTTATGTTATGATTTTTATAATAACTATGTTTTTATAATAACTATCGTGAGACATACTAAATTAAGTCAAAACGCGGGTTACTCACGTGAATATACTGAGAAAAGCTCTACTAGTTTCGAACCACAGAGGAGCTGCGCGACGTCGCCGCGACCGCGCACGCTGCTCATGAGGAAGAACCCCTCTGTGGTTCGAAACTAGTAGAGCTTTTCTCAGTATATTCACGTGAGTAACCCGCGTTTTTACTTAATTTATGTTATGAGTCCCATTTAATAGGGGGTGAGCATATTGCCATATACCGACTACTAAGATTTAAGAATAAAACCGGAATCGGGAATCGAACCCGAGACCCCTTACCCGGCAGTCGCACTTGCGACCACTCAGCCAATGAAGCGGTTGTACGAATTCAACTCGAACAGTAATTGTACCACAATCCTATTTACCCACTTGTCTAACACTAGACCTAGTGCTAAAATTAGTCTAGCTCCCACAGATTAGCATAGCTTAGGAGGTACGTCACGTACGTAGGCACTAGACAGGCTGTATGTATGATGTGCTTACCACAAATCTGGTTAATATATCGCCCTGTATGCAAATAGATACATACTGTAGGTACGTTGCGTGTTGATCAACAGATGTGGCGCTGTCGTGTGTGTGTGTGTATTGGTATAATTTGTTGTGGGTGAATTTTGGAATCTTGATTATAGTTTAGTTCAGTTGTTTGATAAGTAATGTGTAATTTTAAAAGAAATGTAACCATAGCGGTAAATAGACCGCATCATCGCTTACCACCAGGCGAGATAGTGGTCAAACGTCGCCCCATCAAATATATAAAAAAAAAATAAAAAAAATAATTCAATATTGCTCTCCATATTGGTTATTTGGCTTATCTATAAAATTTTCAAGCTCTCCATAGACAACTAATCTGTCTTACGAAGAAGTGACTAAGATTTGTACTTCAATACGAAAAATTGTAAGTTCTTCTGTAGATCCAAGAATACTGTTTTTTTTTCAAGGGGGAAAATCATCGAATGTCTGCTCCCGCCTGAGTGAGGCGGGAGGGAGTGTCAGACTCTTACTGACTAAAAACCACCCCGTTCCTTCTCCTGCACGTCGAGCCGGAGCCCCGGTTACCCGTTAAGTTCTCCGCGACAAAAACACTCGTTAGAGTCATTAACAAATATGTTATAAAGACAAACTTTGACTTTGACTTTGACTTTACCTTTGACTGAACCCAAGAGTCCTTACAGTCAGCTCGGCAGTCACACTTACGACCAACCCTCGACCAACACTCGACCAACGAGGCAGTCATTAATTAATTAATTTATAAATTACGTTTAAAAAAACTTACTTGAGCCTTCCTTTTTTTTGAAGTCGTTTAATTAATGTACTAAAAGTGTAACAAACACTTTTCTGAAAACCACATCAAAATCGGTTCAGCCAATCGCCAGCAAGCCAAAATAAATAATAAAAAATAATCGCGCTCAACATACATACAACAGGTCAAATTGAGAATCTCCATTTTTATGTTTTTGAAGTCGATTTGAAAAAAGGCATTCCTATGACATTATCACTTTCTTAAAAAAAACCTTACTCCATTCACTAAGATAGTAAGCTTGAAGCAGGTATTTTTTTTTAAGGGGGAAAAATCATCGAATTACTGCTCCCGCCTGGGTGAGGCGGGAGGGAGTTTCAGACTCTTACTGACTAAAAATCACCCCGTTCCTACTCATGCACTTCGAGCAGGAGCCCCGGTAATCTGTTAGGTTCTCCGCGACTCCGTTTCGGCATCAGCCCTATTGGGCCCCATCCGTTTGAAGCAGGTGTAAGCCATATATTATTTACTTATTGCCTGCAGACTACAGTAAATGAAAGCACACTGCAATAGTAACAGGGCTATGTAAATAAAAATCGACTGTGGCGAGTATTGCGGTGGTTAGGGTTGACAGAAATGAGTTAGAATTTGTATCGTAACTAAGTATTTTCCCGGAGCTGCGGACTGGAAAGTTTGTGCCTGAATTTTGTGGAGTATGTATAATTGTTTTATAAACTACATTAAAAAAAAACTAACTTCACCCCCCCCCCCCCCTCTTGTTTAAAGTGTATTAACATACAAAAATCTTCTCTTTAGAGTAACAACTGACAACCGCATCACGCATCAAAATCGTTCAACCAATCGCGATAACCGCGCACAAACACATCTCCCTTTTTAATTCGGTTAAAAATGAACAGAAACATAAATTGAATCATTATTAACAGCCCACGATGAACTACTGATATCGTTGGGCCTCTACAAAACTAGATGATTTGATAGAATCTCGATGCTTGACACGCGTTTTCATATACTTAAACTGTCAA